CTAGTCCTATTTCCTAAATAGGGTGGCTTAAAATAGTTAAGGTAAAAATACTTATTATTACTATAATTAAAATAAAGGTGGTTACAAGTACACTATTTTTTTTTAGCTAATATTATTAGGGTTTAAGTTAATATTAAATATAAAAACAGACTAAAGGTTTTATACTTTTTTTTTTAATTATTTTAACTAGTAAGTTAATAGCCTTAATTATAACCTTTTAATATAGGATTTTTAACTAAGACCCTAACTAAAGTAATTTTAGTAATACTTAAGTTTATAGTATTTAAGTTATAGTAGCTAAATTCTTTACTAAAATTAAAACTATATAAAAAAAATAATTACTAAAGCCTTTTTAAGTAAATTTTTTTATATAAAGGCTTTACTTATACAAGGTAAAGTATTTAATTACTATTTTAAAAGTAATAAGGTAATTATAATTATAAGCTTATTTAGTTTAAAGTTTAGGCTTGGCCCTGTTAATAAAGTTTATAATTTAAACTTTTATAAATATAGGGTATTTAAGCAGGCTAATAATAACTTAAAAATAGTTATTATAGCTTTATACTTTAATATTATTTTAGGCTATATTTTAATATTAAAAATAATATTTTTAGGTACTAAAATACTTTTTAAAGTTTTAATAAACCTAATCTTTAAATTACTTAAAAGTAAAGATTTATTTAGGTACGGTTTTTTAGTCTTCTTAAAATTAGTAAGTATTTTAGCACTTTTTAACCTGGCTAGTAAAAAAGTTAGCAGTAACTAGGACTTTTTTATACTTACTAAAGTTTTAATTATAAAAAATATACTTATTATAAAAATAGTAATTTATATTTTAAATTTATATTTTAGTTATATTTAAGTTAATACGGCCTTTATACTTAAAAATACTTTTAAAATTAAAAATTTTTTAAGTAATTAGTTTTTTATTAAATAGTTAGCCTTGGGCGTTTTTCTAGCGCTTATAAAATAAGTTATTTAAAATAATAAATTAAATAAATAGCCCTTGGGTTTTTTTATTTTAGCTAGTTTATTTTTAAAAAAACTTAACCTTTATATATTATAAGTTATACTATGTAATAACCACGGGGTTAGTAAGGTTAATTAAGTTTATAAAATATTTTATAATAATTAATTAATTAAAGTTAAATAAAATATTAAAAAAGAGTTTTAATAAATTAAGAATTACATAAAAAACTTAATTAAAATAATTAATATTTTTTTTTTATTTTTTTTAGTAATTTTTATAGCATAAGTGTTACCCTTGCTTAATATTCTTAATTATTACCCTTACTTTAAAAAGCTAGTAGTAATAATAGTTATTATAAGGTTTTTTTTATATAATTAAAGTTAAGTTACTAGTTAAAAAACCTTTAAATTTTTTTATTTATATAATTAAAAATATAATTTCCTAGTTAAATATATAGGCAAGGTAATAACCCTTATTATTATTAATTATAAAAAAAATCCTAGCTGTCTTGCTGCCCAAGCATAAAGTTTTTTAAAATAATAATTAAATAAATATTTTTTGCTAGCGCTAATAAAAGGGGTTTTTAGGTTAAGTAATTATTAATTATTTTTATTAATATTTTTAATATAGCTCTTGGGCCCCTTAAAAATCTTTTAAGCTTTAATTTTTTTTTTATTATTAAAAAGGTATAGGTAGTATTAAGTAGTTTATATTACTAATAAGCCTTATTATAAATATATTATTAAGTAACCTTAGTAATTAGGCACAGTAATTACCTTATTACTATATTTAATTAAATTTTATAGTATTAAGAAAGCTTATTAATTAAATAACTAAAAATATACTATTAAATATAATAATACTAGCGCTAGAGATTACCCGGCTGGTAAGGCTAAATAATTAAAAAAAAAATATAAAAAAGAAATTAAATATAAAATTATTTAAAAGTCTTTTATTAAGGCCTTTAAGTATTTTATATAGCTTTTATCTAGGGTGGTAAGGCCTAAGTATTATTTTTTAAGGCTATTAATATCCCTAGGCCTTGGCATTGCCACGGCCAATAAAGTGGCCTGAGGCATTGACACCAGCGATGAAACCACATATATATAAAATTATTAAAAACCTTAGCTTTTTTAATATTATTTAGTAAGCTAACCTAGGAGTATTATAAGTAATATAAAAAAATATAAAAATTAAAAATAAAAGGTTATTAAAACACAAGGACTAACTAAAATAATTACCTTTAATATTACTTAAAAGGTATATTTATAAAGGGCTTTTTAATATTACTTAATAAGCTAACCTTAATAAGGCCACGGGTAATATAAAGGTATATAAAAATATTAAATATTAAAAACTAATAATATATAATTATTACTTAATATAAACACCTTTAATATTACTTAAAAGGCCTATTAATAAAAAAATTACTTAAAATAACATGCTAGGTACAGGAATAAAAATATGTAAGAGGTAGTAATAATAGCCTAATAATTAAATATATTATTTTTTATATATAATATTTTAATTATTTACTTTTATATTTTTATTAACCCCTTAATAATAAAAAATATAAGTATAAATATTTAAGTATATAAAAGTTATTTTAGGGGGCCTAGTTTATATAAAATAAAAATAATAATAAAAAAAACCTTATATAAACTAGGCCTATAAATTTACCTATTTTATATTTATAAAAATTAATTAAAATTAAATTTTAACTAAGTATTAAGTAATATTTAAAAAGTATAAAATATTAATTTTAAGCCCTAGGGTATTAAAACTAAAAAAGTTATATAAATATAAAAAAAAAGTAAAATATTAATAAATATTAAGTATAGTTAGACCTAGGAAACCACACGGGGTATATATATTAAATATATAAGTATTAAAATAAATATATATATTTAAAAGGTATATAAAAAAAAGTGGTAAAAGCTAGCAAAATTAATATATATTTTATTAAAATATAAAAAAAAATAATAAACTATAGTAAAATAAAGAACTATATAACTATAAAAATAAAGCTAAGCATATACAGTGGGTAATATATGGCACCTTGGCAACCTTGGCAATAGTCCTGGTAATCTTTATCAGGAAGGTACGGTATGGTACCGTATGGCCCCGTACGTAAGGGCGGTCTCGAACCTTCCGAACCTTGGTTCTTCCGAATTCCGATCCCACCCCCGGGCCCACGGGGCTACGCACATCCAACAATCTGACTTCAACGCCGCGCCACGCAAGCCTAGTCTTGCACACCTAGTTCCTAGCCAGTACCACTACCATTCCTTACCTACTGGACTCTTTCTTCTCTGATTGGATTCCCAGGTTCCTTCAGGCCCCTTCCAAGGTTTCAACCGCACGAGCCCCCATTCGGTGAGTGGATACACTACCGCATTACCCAAGCCGCCGGCTGCTCTTATTCTACCAACGTTCCCCACCGCTCCCGAGGGCCACCATTCCCAGTAGGGATTTTATTTAAATTTATATAGTAATATATATATAATTTATAATAATGCTTTTACTAGGGCTAGTTTTTATTAAAACTTAGGAGATTTTAAATTTTACTAAGTTAGCCGCGTAAAAAAAATAATAACTATTAAGGTACTAGTACTTAGTTTTTTATAAAGATTTATATATAAACTAAAGTACCTGCACTTATAAAGCTATAAGGTTTATTTATATAAAAAAAATATACTATTAACGCGCTGGTACTTTATAAGGCTGTTAACATGTTAAAGGGCTATTAAAGTATAAATACTTTATTTTTTATAGGAAATTATATATAAATTAAAGTACCTATATTTACAAAGCTATTTAAAAGTCTATCCGCGTGGTGTTAGGCTAGGAATAAGGCTGTTAACGCGTTAAAAAGCTATTAAAGTACAGGTACTTTGTTTTTTATAGGGAACTGCATATAAATTAAAGTACCTATATTTACAAAGCTATTTAGAGGTCTATTTGCGTGGTGTTTAGCTAAGAATAAGGCTATTAACACGTTAGCAAGGCTATTAACGCGCTGGCAAGGTTATAAAAGTGCAGGTACTTGGTTTTCTATAGGGAATTACATACTAATTAAAGTACCTATATTATAAAGTTATTTAAAGGTTAATTAGCGTGGTATTTAGCTAGGAATAAGGCTATTAACACGCTGGCAGGGCTATTAACACGCTAGTACTTTATTTTTTATAGGAAATTATATATAAATTAAAGTACTATTATTATTAAAAACTTATTAATATAAAATTTAGCTTGGTAATGGTGGAGGGCTTACCTAATAAAGATGTGTAAAGAATATATACCTAGTTTTATTATAACTTTTATTTATATAAGGGTTTTTATATAAAGTATAGCTTTATTTAAATAAAGCACGCAAACCTTATATATTACTTTTTTTATAATTATACTCCTAAATTTGCAGGCTTGTAGCGCCATAAAATTATAATAAAATTTAAATATAAGTAGATTAACTTATAGGTAATATTTAAAATATTATACTATATTTTTTTAAGTATTTAAATATATGTTATTATTAAGATATTAACATGTAAATAAAAATTAATAATCTTATATAAAAATATATATTTAAATTTTATAGTATTTAGTAGCAGTTTTTCCCTAAGTTTAAATTTTACTAAATTAATATAAATATTACTTTTTAATTAGCCAAGGCTAATTTAACCGCCCCCTGTAATTATTTATTTTTAACTTTTTTTTTTAAGAACCTTATAAGTTTTATAGGTATATTAATTTTTATATAATTTTTTATATAATATAATATACTAGTGTAACTTAGTAAGTTTACTATAAGTTTTAATATTAGGTTAGGCGTAGGGGAAGGCTAATATTACAAGGCTAGTATATTATTTTAAATTATATAAAAACTATTATATAAACTAAAATATATTAAATACTAACTAATAGGTGGGGCCCCCCTTGGTGGACCGTCGGTGGAATAAGAGCTTCCCAAGCCGCCAACAACATCAAGACACTGACTTCATGGTTCTTGGATGCAGGTACTTCTCTCGCTATGACGCCTACGTCTCTCCTGACTCTTCCACCGGAGCTTCAGCTCACGATTGTCGAGAATATCGATTCACCGAGGTACCTCAACGCGCTCAGTCAAACATGCAAGCAACTATATCCGATCATAACCCCCATCCTTTACGGCGACGAGATCAAGAACAATTACTCCGGGGCGCTATTCTGGGCCGCGCGGAATAATTCACCGGGCACCATCGAGCGAATGCTAAGCCACGGGGCCAGCGTGGATTCGGAAGACGGACATTCCCCAGCGTCCGCGATGATCACCAAAATCAGACACCACCCGACAGCTCTCATGTACGCAGCGAGCAACGGACACATTGAGTCCGCAAGGACTCTTCTTAAGCATGGGGCTGATGCCTACAAATACACAAGGAACGACTATGGGGCGGGGCGTGGACCAGCTCTCGTCGAAGCTGCAAAGGGGGGAATGAGTAAAATGGTTGATCTCCTAGTGCGGGAGTACCAGGTTGATGTCAATTACCGGGCCAGACTGGACGTGATCAAGAACCAATGAATGCGCTTGAAGCCGCAATAGTGGAGGGTCACAGTCATACTGTCCAGGCCCTGCTGAATCATGGTGCAGACATCGAACGCATCGCTCTCCATTCTCCTTTGATTACAGCTGTGGTTGCTGGCAATATCAGTGCTATCACTGTTCTGCTGGTGAATGGGGCTAAAATTGATGCCGCCTATTGCTATGATGCAAACACAGCGCTCGTATCAGCAATCAATGCCCGACAAATAGAGATTGTTCGTTTGCTGCTGCATTGGGGCGCAAATGTCCATGAAGGCTATCCGTCCGATTTCACGCCATTGGAAGCCGCGGAGGGACAGATGAATATGATAAAGCTACTTGTCAGATATGGTGCTGATCCAGCTCGGTTATCGGAAGCAGATAGGGAGCGCTTGGAGGCAGAGAAGGCAAAGGAGGCAGCCCGATGGGAGGAACACCATTGAGACTAGGAAGATGGCTCAGAAGAGTCACGAGAGTTGGAATAGATAGAGTCTAGTTCCAACCAGCGGGGTGGATTTGGCTGTGACGTCTTTCTTGTTTTGCAGTTGACATGTATTTGACATTTTGATATGGCTGACATCGGGACCTAACGCTAAAACTCCTAATTCATCACTCACTCACTTACTCACTCACTCATTTCTCCACACACCATCTGCATCTCAATTTCAACGCCTCGACGCGCAGGCCGGAAGACTTTAACAAGCTCAACTTTCTAACTGATTCATTTGTTTGTACTTTGGCTCCCAATCTTGATCGTTTCTCGACTGGGTTCGTTATTACCGCAAGAACTGGCACTCTTTGGTGGGTTCCCGCTCATAACACAAGCCACCGAAATCACGACGACTGACATCTACATTCTCTAACGCAGATACCTATCTTCCAAGCCTGTGACTACAGTCATGTCGCTCTTGGCTCTACCTCTCGAGCTCCTGCTCATGATCGTCGGTAATCTCGAGTCCTCGGCCGATCTCAACGCACTCAGTCAAGCAACAAAAATCCTCTACCCCGCGGTGTCCGACATCCTCTATCGCAACAACATCAAAAACGAAAATTGCTCTGCGCTGTTCTGGGCAGCTCGAGAGGGCTCCACGGCAACCATTGAGAGATTGTTCAGTTACGGAGTTGACGTGGATGCCCGTGATGAATACGAAGTTACGCCCTTGATCTACGCCGCTAAATACGGTCACATTGCGGCGGCTGATAGTCTTCTTCAACATGGCGCCGACCTCACCAAGCAAACCAGTGTTTCGCCCCTTAGAACATTTCGTCCCAGTGACGCATACGGGCCTGCACTATTCGAGGCCGCAAGAGAGGGCAGAGACGAGATGGTGGAATTTCTTCTGAACCAAGGAGCCGACATCAACCATCAGCGGAAGGGGGATTTGGTAATATCGACCCTTGAGGCCGCTATAAGTGGGGGCCACAGCTCAACAGTTCAGGTCTTGCTAGATCGCGGCGCGGGGATAGAGTCGCCGGGGTGGTATGGGACGCCTCTCGTCGCAGCAGGATATTATGGGTCTCCGGATGTGACTCTGGTTTTGCTGCGGAACGGAGCCAACATTGAAAATTCAGACCGGAATTGGGGGACAGCCCTGCAAACAGCAGCCGAAGAAAGGCATAAGGATGTTGTCCAACTGTTGATTGATTGGGGCGCAAATGTCAACGCGCACGCTGGCACTTGGGGGACAGCGCTTGTATCCGCGGAACAAGGAGCATCACCTGCAAGCGAAGATATTATGGAGCTGTTGATTAGGCACGGTGCTGACCCTGCCCAAGTGACCGAGGAGTATTGGGACAAATATCATGCCGATAGAGAAGCCGAAAATGCCTCCGCGGCGTAGGCATAAGGGTTCCAACCGGGGAGCCAGGCAGCTTCCAAGGCTCGACTTTAGCATTGAAACTGTATACAATGTCCCGAAACGAAGATGATTATAGTGCTTACTGGGGCGTCTTTAAGATGGTCGATCTAAGTCAACATCTAGATGCTCATTTTCAGAAGCATTTATCTCAAGTTCCTCCCGAAGAGACATACAAAGACAGGAGTGGTCCTTTAGCAAAGTGACATATTACCATGGACATCTTGTGTTGAAGTGAAGTAGCAACGTAGAAACTGCTATTGAAGGGTTTGGGTTATGGCAGGTAGGTGCTTCTATCTGAATCTCGCAGTACACCTGGAAAGTAACAATATTCAGTGCCATTTGTCATCGATGTGCATAGAAATACCTATAGATTCCAAGTCTTTGGGCCATCTCGGCTTTTTCTACAGCCAGAGCAGCTTCAGTTCCTAGAACCTTAGGTGCATCTTGCTCCAGCCCTTCCTTATATTTTTCTTATCTCTTACCTAGTTCTTTACCTCCCTTCTCTCGCTTCCCGCTCTTCTCTTACTTTCTCCCTTCTTACTACTCCTCTTACTGCTTCTTTTACTGCCCCTCTCACTTTCCCTCTTACTACTTCTCTTACTGCTCCTCTCATCGCTCCTCTTACTGCTCCTCTCACTGCTCCTCTTACTGCTCCTCTCACTTCTCTTTACACTTTTCCTCTCGCTACTCCTCCTTCTTCTCCCTTCTCACTTCTCTAAACCCATTATCTCCATCTTCCCACTCGTTCCCCGAGATACAAGTAAGTCATTTCTCCTTCCCATCATCAAGCAACCCGCTAAAGCAATCTAACGCAGCACATTACCATCTGACGATCCACCTTGCACAATCACCCCCACCAGTCGAAACCTCCGCCACAATGTCTCTCCTATCTCTCCCATCCGAATTGATTCTCATGGTTGCCCAGGGCCTCGAATTCAACCGTGACATCAATTCCTTAACGCGCACAACCAAACTGTTATACCCTCTCCTCAACGAGTTACTTCACCGCAAGAATATCACGTATCCAAGAAAGAAAAACGAGTTGTCCTGGCATGTCAACCTCTTGAGCGCAGAATCCATGCAGCAGTTCCTCAAGTACGGAGCCGATGTCGACCAACGAGATATCAACGGCCTCACACCCCTTATCATCGCCGCCCGGCAGGGAGAACTAGAGGTGGCGAAGGTTCTTCTTGAGCAGAACGCCGATATCAACACAGTGGCTACAGGTGTTTCGGACTGGGCCGAGGGCACACCATGGATGAGATTCAGTGGCCCGCCACTCGTAGCAGCGGCAGGAAAAGGTCATTACGAGATGGCAAAGTTGCTGCTCGATCATGGTGCCGATGTGAATCACAAACAGACAAAAAACTTCTTCACTTGTGCCCTTGAGGCTGCAATATTTTACCGTCGTGGTAAAACCGCTAGGCTCTTGCTAGATCGCGGTGCGGATGTTGAAACATCCGGCCGTTTCCCCTCGCCGCTTGTTCTGGCCTCGAGAGTGGGCGATACAAAAATGGTCATCTCGCTGCTCATCAGGGGGGCAAACATAGACTTCCAGCACCCGAAATTTGGTACTGCGCTACATATAGCTGTCACTCAGAGCGGCGCAGGGAGAATAAAGACTACCAAGGAATTACTGAAAAGAGGCGCAAATGTCAATGCAACTCGTGCAGATGGCCATACAGCTCTTTCCCTTGTCCGCTCGTTGCCTATCACTGCTTATAGTCTTACAACTCGTTCCCTTGCCCGCACGTCTTCTATCTCAAGGGACGTCGAAACTCTTCTCCTTCTGTTTGGAGCTGACCCCTCGATCAAACCAAAACAGTCATCCCGTTCGGTTACTGTTTGGGATTACATCATTAATACCTAGCGCAGCGAGTCCTTCTTTTGCACCAGCATCTACTCGTCAGCAACAAGGCGGCTTTTCGAAGCCGATCTCTATTGATACAGTCTTGATATTTTGAATAACTCATATTTTGAGAGACCAAGGAGCGAGAAATTTTGACTCTATGCTATACCGTTGGCGATTATTCGAAAGTCATGCGCATTGAAGTTACAGAGATACAAGTTAATGTTCCTTGTCATTATCTGTTGCCAGGCATGACAGGACATCTCCTGAGTCCAATCTGACCAAGAACTGTAGGAGAGTAACCGCCGTAGCAGTATATTCTCTCCGCTGTAAGCCCAACTGGGTGCCATTGACTCGAAGCAATTCCGCCGTATAAATGCATTTCAGTTACACCTATCTTTGCCAGCAAAAGTACCTCATTGGCGACTATGCAAGGTGGCCCAAAGGTTAACATATGCTTGAGGTAAGGATTAGCGGGATCAGCGAATACCTAGATAGGTAGTTCAGACAGTTTGGGGCCTCTGCCGCCACGCGCTTATATGAAGGTGAATGTCGCTTCGGAGGCTAATCATAGTAATAGCCGGTGTTCCAGTGGAAAATAAATACTCAGTAAGACAGGCCAACGTAGATAGAAACAGGCTAGCAGTAAATGAGCTGTTGCTGACTTAGCATTCTTAGAGATGTTTAGAACAACGTGAAAGCAGACCTCCCAAGCCATTTCCAAACCCTTTGGATGGGAAGTATCTGTAACCAGGGTGATGACAAAAACCACCATGTTTGTTTGCCAGTATTCTTGCAACTCAGCTATTCCCTGACCTGACCCAGAGCGCTCTACCTTTCGTAAGTTGAGCTTTCATCAAATAGGAAGAAGAGAAACATAAGGCAAATTGGACTCTGGGCACTTTTCCGCTGTCCGCTCTGCCATAGGCGATTGCCGTTCTAAGAGGATGCCTTCAAATTGAGGTCTATATGGCGATCTCACAATCCCGTTGACTCGAAGGTGAGAGACCAGAAGACTTCGAGGATCGATTGGCATGGGCTGACACGGGAAGCGGGCTCAAATGGCCATGATCTCGTGGGTATACGACAATCGGCCCTGGACAATACGGAAGAAGAAAGAACAGAAGTGACCACCTACTGCAGGAGAATTTGGCCAGGCTTCAAGAGCCACTTTTTGAGAACAGCCCAAGGCTGACTTCTTGGGTGGAGGAGCGATGGTGGCGGTGGCTGTTGAGTCTCCTCCTGACGGCGGGCGGCGCAAGAGAATCAAACTCGAAATGACATGAGTATTGCTCAAGGGGGCCCGGTGAACTGGAAATTGAATAAGGGTATGAGTATGGATCTAGAATTATGAGGCAACAAGGCTGTCCATGGCGGGGGATCAGCGGGTGACCCTTGCAGTTCTGAAACCGACTCGCTTAGGGCCTATTCAACTGTTGATGATAAGGGCGACGATGGTCTAGCTCGCGCCAGCCACAGTCGTCACTCTCACTTGAATGGGGAGATCTGACCAGTGCAGAGAGGTTATCGCCTTGCGGCCCAGCCCCTAAGCCACTCTCCTTCGATGAACCGTGAACGGGCGGTTGGGAGCTCGTCGACCAAGACGGCGTCGGGGGTTTCCCAGGGGCCAGGGGGGCTTGCTGGGCCTAGATCTTGTTGCGGCGTTGTGGCGTGTCTACAGGCGATTCATCACACCGCTACCCGTAGCGCTTGTAAGAGCTAAGAAGCGAGGGGCAGAGCGGAATCATAGTCAAAGGAGTTCTCATCCCGCAGGATCCGGAGCGGGCGAGACCAAACAGTTTGCTGGGCGCTCCGGGGAATCCTATCCGGAGCTCAATAAAAGTACCGTACTTTGGGAGCTGATAAAGTGAAGCTGCGAAGCACAGCTGGGCTGTGAGTGGTATCCAATGGACGCTGCGTAAGGCTGTCGATGTAACGTGGCTGGTGGGGTTGGTGGGTTTGGAACTTTGGTCCTGGGTTCCGGGCCGTACCTTCAGGGTTCCCTGGGGTGGATCTATATGTATCCCGCCCCGCAACCTTCCAAGTTGTATTTTATGGAAAATGCGAAAAGCAAATTGGAATTGAAATCGAGAAGCTGGATGCTATGAGTCGATGGGGAGGTATTACCTAGGATTCAAGTCACGACCATTTTCATTTGATTTATACTTCTATATCCTCACTAGTAGGGCCGAAGCCCCAGTACTTAACCCACTTGTTGACAAGCCGTCACTCTCCAAATATCTCGCAGAGCTTTCAGGTCGTGAAGATAAGATATCCCGCGTAGGTTCTGGGCCTGCATATGACATCTTCTGATCAGATAAGCCGAGGACCATGGATGTTCCCAGCTTGGTGAGATTGCCCTGTTACACAGCAAAGCCACAGCGGCAAACAAAGCTCACCGGACGCGAAGGACGGAATTCGACGAGTCGAGGATGGAAAGCGCGGCATGATCTACATCGAACCAAGAGCAAAGTTGTGTCAAGGGAATGTTGAGTACCAGCTGAGATCTCGATCTACCCCTACCAATTAAGCTGCAGCACGTCCAACGCACCGATGAGCCGTTGAAGCGGTCTGTGAAGGTGGAGATGTGGAGATTGTATCTTCCAGGGTTATGTCTGTTTTTTATTTGGTTTCTTCAAATTTGAGATACTAGCGTTCTGCCATCCCGCACATTCATACCGAGTGGAATTCGTAGTTTTCCAGATACAAATGCCGATATAGGGCAAACACATCATCGGGTGCACGACGCAGTAGGGTTGCAGGTGACAAACCAGTTTTTTTAGTTTTTTTTCTCGGGGTTTGCTCACAGAAATGCTCAGTGAAAAAAAGAACGACTAGTTTCGTACTTCTTGTCATGAGGCTGGACTGTTCGGGGCCTTCTGTCTGTAGGCCGCAGGTTCTCCCAAAGGACAGCATGTCTGCAGGTTTGGCACGTCTCAAGCTGCAGGTTTGTAGTAGTAGTAGTAGTAGTGATATTTAACGCCCCGGGGATTGCTAGGCGTACGCCTATTATTTTAGACCTTTCTTAGGGTATGGGGGCGTGCCGCCGCTAGGTAAGTAGCTTATTTAAATAATTTATATATAAAAAGGCTTTTTATTTTAAAAGGTAACTTTTACTAAAGCTTATAGGCTAGCGCCTATTTTTTATATATTATTTTTATATATAGCTATTAACAGGTATTATTTATTACATATTTAGGGTTTTAATTATAAAGGGTTTTAAGAACTTACCCTATTATAAAAAAAATATATTAACTAGAACTAGTTATATTAAAAAAAGGTGTTTTAAATAAAAAAAAAAGTGTAATAAAATAAAAAAAAAAATTATTTAATATTAAGCTAAGTAATTTTAATAATGCCAGGGCGCGGGGTACCCTAGTAAGGGTAAATAAATTTATAAAAGTTTATAATTTTAAGTAATAATATAAAGCTTTTAGGCTTTAGTCCACGGAGGTACTTTAAGGCCTTAGCCTTAATTATTAGTAATATTATAAAATACTAGGGCTATTATAAAAAGCGCTATTTAAAATAATAATAAAAAACTAGGTATTTAGGGCTTTTACTTATTTTATAAAAGTAAGTAAGCCTAGTATTTTTATATTAAAAATACTTATAGTATTACTTAAAGTCCTTATATAAAAACTTAAGTATAAGTTAGTAGTATAAAACTAGTTATTTTAATACTAGCTTTAATAATAGCTTAACTTAGTAAAACTTTAATTTTATAGTAAACTATTACCTATATTATATAAATAATTTTATAAAAGTATTTTTTTATTATTTAGCCTAGGTAGTGTGGTATATTTATTTATATAAGCTATATATTTTATTTATTATAAGTTGCGCCTTTAAAAAGTTAGGCTTTAAAGGTTAGGCCTTTACTAAGGCTGCTTTATTAATAAGCTTATTAGCTAGCTTATTACCTTTAATACTTATATAATTAAGGGATTACTTTAAGTAAATAATATATTAATTTATAAGCTAATATAGCACTTAAAAAGCTTAGTTAAAAATAATAAGGGCTACCCGCGCGTGTACTAAATTATTAAAATATTATTTATATAAAGCTAGTAAATAAAAGCCTTAAAAAGTTTTTTAATTATTACTTTTAGTTTTTAAAGTATATTAATAACCTTAGTATTATAAATATAAAACTAGGTGCTAATAACTAATAATTTTTATACTTAAAAATATTATTTATAGTATATTATATAGCTATAGCCTATATAATATATACCTTAGTATATTTATTTAAATTTATTATTAAAAATTACTACCTTTACTATTAGTAATACTTATTATTATTATTTAAACTTTTTTATAGCTAGTTTCTTAGCCTTGCCCCTAGTAAAATCCCTTAAATATTTTTAAAAGTAATAAAAATATGCTAGGACTAGCCTTAAGGTATTTAAAAAAAGTATTTTTATAATTTATATTTTAATTTTAGGTTTTTAGCATATGCTAGCGCCCTAGCCTTATAAAATTTTTAGTAATATTATTTATATTACTAGTAAATTTTAGTTATTTACTAGCTAAAGCCTTAAGGTAAATTATAATTAAGCTTTTTTTAATACTGCTACCGCGGAAAAAAGTTTAGTATTTTTAAAAAGGGTTATTATAAATATTATTTAAAAAACTAAAAGCACATCGCGGGCAGCTAAAGCTAAGGTTTTTTTTATTATTTTAATATACTAGCCTAGTTAGGCACTAACCTTTAGGTCCCGTGTATATTTATTAGGCTTAGTTTTATTATTATATTATATTTTTATTTTATATAAAAGGCTAAAAATAATATAAATAATAATTATTTTATAAAATAAGTTTGCGGGCGGACTATATATTATATATATTAAATTATAAATATATTAAGTTATTACACGGGCTTTAATTACCTACTTAATAATATATTAATATTAAAAAAGTTATTTATTAAAAAAAATACCTAGCTAGCATAGCGCAGGCTATTTTTAATTTAGTACTATAATAATTAGGATAATTATTAGCTAGTTATTAATTACTAG